CCCCCCCAAACCTCCAACTCCCCTCCCCCACAGAGGTCACGTTCCATGTTCCAAGAGCAGCAGATAAACCAGGGTCAGAGTGCCAGTGTCCTCGCCTTCAGCCACTGCCCATGGATTCATGCACCCAACTCATATGGCCCCTCCTGCCTGTGGGCCCACAGGAAGGCAAACCCATGTCACTTCAGGCTGAGCCCGACCGGGCCCCATAGGTAGAGACGCAGTCACCAGGCCTGGCTCCCGGGCGGGACCCCTGTAACCCACATCCAGACAAGGCACACTGAGCTCCTTGTTTGGTTGTCCATGCAAGTCTTCAGAACTGCTCTTTGTCTGGCCTGTCACCGAGAACTTGGGAGACCCTACCAGGGGCCATTGCCCCCGACAGCAGAGCTCCTAGGGTCATTCAGGCGCACAAACTCCTCCACCCCAACAAGGTGAAGATTCAAGGAGGAGTGTAATGTAAAGTTTTGTTTGCAATGTTTTTGTTCATAACAAATTTCACAGTTAATTCAAAGTTAATGTGTTTTTTATTTTTTATAAATGCAGGTGGTTGTTGTGGACTTTACAACATGCCTGACGGTGGAGGAAGCTGTAAAAGATCTGATGCACCAGGAGGAGTACCACAGGGCCACAGCTCAGAGAGGTACGTTCAAGAGACTAGTGCTTAGGAAAGACTAGTTTGAGTTTAGACTGTTTAGGAAAGTGTCAGGATTTGTGTTTGGAGCAGAACCCAATAGTGCAGGCAGGACTCAGGACCAGGGAGGAAATGAGAAGCACTTTAATAATATAAAATCATGACATGGCAGCAAACACTTACATGTCTTGAGGGAAACCAGAAACACAGGACGTTACCAGACGATGCCCAGACAGCGAGGAATACAAAGACACAGACTTATATACAAACACACACTGAGAAACAAGCACACACACCTGACAGGACACCAATCATCAGAGAGACCAGGGAGTGTGAGAATGGGACCAACCACCAGAGGGCACCATCCTTACAGGAAGACTAGTTTTAGTTTAGTGTTTAGGGAAGCTGTTTCAGGTTTTTTATCTACTGAAGTATTTACAACAGTGTCAGTTCTGGTGACTTACAAGTTGTTTTCAAGGTTTTTAGGAGAGATCAGATGATAATGAACAAACGGGTGAAAATTTAACAAAAGAGAAAACACCTGTTTTTAAAAGACAACTCAAACTTTTTGTAACTAACGGACTTACTGCAATAAACACAAACATTTTGAAGTCCAAATGTTTCACTTCCATCAGTTGATGAGCTAACAAAAATATATTTGCACAAAGAGCTTTTTAAAATTATTAGTTTTAGTTCACAACAAAAGCAAGTGACAGAAATCTTCTTGTCACCTGTTTTATTTTACAACAGTGTTGGGCTGTCTGGCATCAAGGATTCGTTTCTCTGTTCTTCCCCGAGTGTTCGTTACGTAACTGTTGCTGAGCACTTTCCTCTGAGACGACTGGAGCTGTGGAGTAGGGACGGTGTTTCACTTCTGTAAAGATGCTGACGGGTGCTGCAGGGCCGGCACCAGCTTCTCTCAAGATGGAGTCCTGGACTCCGTCTCCACTAAAACTATAAATAAACTGTACCTCAGCAAACACAAAACTGACTATAACTCAGTCATTCTTTGAGATACGGAGCTGAAATGGATGTAGCCGAGAGAGAGATGTTTTACTGTCCTGATGCAAATCAAAAATCCAAGATGGAGACCATCCATCCATCCATCATCTTTACCCGCTTCTTCCTGCTCGGGTTGTGGTTCCCATGTCCAGCCATCACTGTGCAAGAGGTGGGGGACACCTGGACAGGTCTCCGGTCCATCACAGGACATCTAGGGTCAATTTAGTTACCTGTCAGTCTAACATGCATGTTTTTGGTCTGTGGGAGGAAACTGGAGTAC